CGTGCTTTGAATGTTTTGCCCCAAAAGGGGGGGGGGGGGGGGGTCAATTTTGCTCCAGGTCAGTACTTATAAGATACGCCAGGCTGTTGGACCTGATGGGACATACTCCTTCATTTAGTGGAAAAGGCTAATACTGTACGATGTAAAGGTGGGGCACGTTGTTTTTTAGGGACACCCACCCCATCTACCACTATGCCCATCAATCCCTGAGGCACAATGGAGCAGTTTTCATGAAACAGAAATCTGCCTGTGCTAGTGATGTGTGGGGGGCTTGGTGTGAACCAAATGTGCTCAAGTTTGCCCAAGCCCTCGCAAGTCTGTCACTGACAGCCCCCCTGGCTTAATCTGTTGTACTTGGGGCTTTCCCTGTCCCTGTCCTGCAGACATGTCCCAAGCGGCCAGGGAATGCCCCTGCCGCAACTGGTGGGGCCAGGAGGGAGGTGTGTCAGTGACAGTTTTGTGAGGGCTTGGGCACCAAGCCCCTGCACATCAATAGCCTCTATCATGAAAGTGACACTTGGTTTGCCCTCCAGGCCAAAAATTTATTTGTATTGTATTGACCTCTATATCTATACTCTACTAGTCTTTTCATCTAAACTGGAAATCATTGCATTTGTTTTTTTCAGACGCTAGTATAAAGGGGAACTACTAGCAAAAGAAAAGAAAAAAAAAGCATCAGTGGGTTTATCCGATCAGTAACATGCACAGTAAAAATACATTTTTGTAATGATGAATTGTGCCCCATCTCTTATTAAATTTCTTAGTTTCATTAAGCACGCACTGTCCGGTTGGTGTCAAACATCTGATGTTGAGATACCAAGTTCTGGCTGCAGTATGCTCAGTATAGTGAGTTGCTTGATGCCTCTTATGCTCCATTCAGAAAAGCCTTTTTTTTTATGATTACAAGGTGTTCTGTGATTGGAAGAGGTGCAGATGCATGTTACAATCTCCCCTCCTCCAATCACAGAATGCTCTGTATATAGTAAAAATTAATGGAGGATAAGGTACAGCAAACTACTCACAGCTTTGCCCACCTGCCTGGAGGTGCATTGGGGTGCTATTCAAATGAATGGCAACACAACCTACCAGGACACCTAGTGTGCTGCACATTGTACTATATGATAGTGTATGTTAAACACACCACCGGTACCGTGTCTTTAGTGCAACGCTATGGTGTGACCCTTACATATGAAAGAGGAAAAACATTACCAGCACACTGTATGAATATGTCCAAAAGCACATCTTCTTTTTACTGATGCATATTGTCACATATATAGCGCAATGTTTCGGGGCCACGCAGGGTCCTCCTATCAGGCTTAGCATGACCCCGCGTGGCCTTGAAACATTGCACTATATATGTGACAATATGCGGCAATAAAAAGAAGATGTGCTTTGGACACATTTATACGGCGTGCTGGTGACGTTTTTGCTCATTTGATGTATGCGGCTCCATCCGCTGTCACCTCAGCAACCACTTTTTGATAAGCAGGGAAATCCCAGCAGCACACTGGCGTGGTGGTCCTTGCATCGCTAGACTGGGCTGGGTGTCCCCGGTTCCAATCCCGGCCAGGTCACTATCTGCAAGGAGTTTGCATGTTCTCCCTGTGTTTGCGTGGGTTTCCTCCGGGTACTCCAGTTTCCTCCCTGTAAGATAGCGACCTAGATTAGATTGTAAGCTTCTCGGGGCCAGGGACTGATGTGAATGTGCACTATGTAAAGCGCTGTGTAAATTGTCACCACTATATAAATACCTGTAATAAAGGAATAAATAAATCTGGTAAGGAGGGCGGGATCCCTCACTGGCCCTTAAATATGTCCCCAGGTATTCCAATATAACAGTTCAAGTTGCCAGTACTCCTATAATACTCACTGTTTTTGTCGTGTTTTACTGTAACTTGATAATATTAGGGGAAAAAAGTGTTGGTTGCTGTAGAAGTTTTCTGCCTTTAGCTTGCTGCATCAGAGCAAAATTGCAAAAAACATATTACCTTGTAAAAGTAGCAGAGGCATCGTCACTGTGCTCTACATAGACTGTACAGAGAGCAGAGCTGTAGGAGGGGCCCAGTAGTCCCCACCCACTACAGGTTGCCCGCAGAAAACTACAGGAGGGGATGGATACAAGACCAGTCACCCTGCACAAAGAGCGAGAGAGAGAGAGAGCAGCAGTGGCCGGTCTTTATTACAGTAAGCTCCACACTGGATTACTGCTCAGATCTGTAAAAAAAATACACATTTATCTTATGCTTATTTGAATCACCAAGGTTCAAATAAGCATACACATGCCTCTTCTATCTAGACAATATTTGCTTTTCCTATTAGGCTTTTAACTGCCGTAGATGGTAAATAGTTTTGTTTAAGACCAATGCGAAGAACTGGTAATTGAAGGAGAAGTTTGGAAAGAGTAAGACATACTCTCACTGATGTTTAAAGCCATAGTGGGACACTGCAACTTTCTAATACCAGCTTTGATCACATGAGTCTGCTCCTCCAGTGCTGTCTGGAGTTACAGACCAGGGAGGGGGTGAGCATAGCTTGCTCTGGCTCCCAATTATAAGCAGATAGGCAGAGGCAACTGTCAATTAGGCAGCCGGGGTGGATCCCAACAATATTGTCAGGTTCCTTATCCACCGCTGCATGGCTCTGCGCTGTCAGCTGATAGGGGGCATTAGCCCACTATCAACTGACTTTGGGTCACAGAATACATTAGTAAATGTACTCCTGTGACCCAAAAGATAAGTAAAAGCCCCCAAAAAAGGATCGTCTCTACCACAAAGGACGGAGACAATGTAAAGAATGTGTGTCTGTCTTTTAAAAAAGGCTGTAGTGTTTCTGTAATCCCAGAAGGTTTGATTTATTTAGCAATTTTAGGCTAAGTTCACACCTAGGTGTTTTAAACGCGTGATATCACACAAAACAGAGATTTGCATTGATGTCTATGGAAGCTGTTCACACCTTTGCGATTTGCCGCGCAGTAGAAAACAGAGCAAACAAAAAAGCACAAAAACAGCTCACCAGCTCAATCGCCTAGGTGTGAACCTAGCCTTAGATATGCATTCTGTATTATTTTTGCTTTATACCTAAAAAAGTTACCCAAAATGTATTTTTTATTGCAGCCCACACTAAATATTTGTAAAAGGAAGAAAAAGCAGATTAAGTGGGAAGTGCATATTCCCTCAAACTATCACAGAGCTTGATTCTACTTTTCAGAATGGATGAGGATGAGGATGAGGAGAGTTTCACCACTTGATTGGCATACACAAAGAGTCCCAAGACAGCAAAAAGAACTTCATTCCAGGTAAGTTTCATTTATCCTTTTTATTAACTTGTAAAAGCTCAAAGTAACAATGAATGTGAAGTGCCAATTCGTAAAGACAGCGTTTCTCAAATTTTGGAAATAATACCACCAATTATACTTTATGAGCGCTATAAGGGCACTTGCAAATCTCAGAATTTAAGTACAGTGTGATGTCTGTCATTGCAAATGCTATGGAGAACATATGGTTACTAAGGTGAAGCTCTGCTGACTTCCATCATCTAATCATGGGCAAACAAAATGACTGTTTTGTTTGTATTTACCCTGCTCATGACTGGGTATTCCTTGCAAAGTGCAATTTCTCTTGCAAAGTGAACAGTCTATTTTCTTTTAGTTAATCAACCCCTGGACCAAAATCACATGTATACCTGGGTGTCAGTGTTTGGAAAAAGCTAGTATCTCATTGGATATTGCCTGTGTTGGAGGATGGAGAAAGATCTTTTTTTAAATGGAAATAATCATGCAATCTCTGTTACCTTGTTTTAACACGTGGCATTTTGTCTTTAAGGATGAGCTAAAGAAGGTCGTCAATGCTCGAGTTTCCCGACAGAAGGCTATTGAAGAAACTGAATACTCCGACTACTCGGATGAATTTGAAAGTGATGGTATGTCTGTTCAGAAGAATTTTATTTAATCTATTTTGCTTGGATAACGGGGAAAAAGCAAAGGAGGAATAGAATTGTTCACTTCTATGTCAAGAGAGAGAAATAGAATAGCTCACTACTGTGCCAAGAGAGAGAAATAGAATAGCTCACTACTGTGCCAAGAGAGAGAAATAGAATAGCTCACTACTGTGCCAAGAGAGAGAAATAGAATAGTTCACTTCTGTGCTGAGAGAGAAACAGAATACAGTGGTACCTCGGTTCACGAACTTAATTTGTTCCACGATTCTGGTCGCGAACTGAATTGGTCGTGAGCCAAATCAAACTGTGATCAGACCATGATCTCGACTAGAGGAAGCCACGACCAGTGCCAGAGCAGGGAAGATGCCTGCGGTTGTGTTCGTCAACCGCTGTGGAATTCGTCAACGGAAATTTAGCTGAACTTCCTGTTCGCGAACCGAATTGTTCGCGGACAGAAGTGCTCGTGAACCGAGGTACCACTGTAGTTCACTTCTGTGCAGAGAGAGAGAAACAGAATAGTTCACTTCAGTGCCGAGAGAGACAAAGGGAATAGTTCAATTCCCTGCCGAGAGAGATAAATAGAATAGTTCACTTCTGTGCAGAGAGAGAGAAACAGAATAGTTCACTTCAGTGCCGAGAGAGACAAAGGGAATAGTTCAATTCCCTGCCGAGAGAGATAAATAGAATAGTTCACTTCTGTGCAGAGAGAGAGAAATAGAATAGTTCACTACTGTGCCAAGAGAGAGAAATAGAATAGTTCACTACTGTGCAGAGAGAGAGAGAAATAGAATAGTTCACTTCTGTGCCGAGAGAGAGAAATAGAATAGTTAATTACTGTGCCAGGAGAGATAAATAGAATAGTTAACTTCTGTGCTAAGAGAGACAAATAGAATAGTTAATTACTGTGCAGTGAGAGAGAAATAGAATAGCTCATTACTGTTCCAAGAGAGAGAAATATAATAGTTCACTACTGTGCCGAGAGAGAGAAATAGAATAGTTCACTACTGTGCCGAGAGAGAGAAATAGAATAGTGCATTACTGTGCCAAGAGAGAGAAATAGAATAGTTCACTACTGTGCAGAGAGAGAGAAATAGAATAGTTCATTACTGTGCCAAGAGAGAGAAATAGAATAGTTCACTACTGTGCCACGAGAGAGAAATATAATAGTTCACTACTGTGCCGAGAGAGAGAAATAGAATAGTTCACTTCTGTGCAGAGAGAGAGAAATAGAATAGTTCACTACTGTGCCAAGAGATAGAAATAGAATAGTTCACTACTGTGCCAAGAGAGAGAAATAGAATAGTTCACTACTGTGCCAAGAGAGAGAAATAGAATAGTTAATTACTGTGCCAACAGAGAGAAATAGAATAGTGCATTACTGTGCCAAGAGAGAGAAATAGAATAGTTCATTATTGTGCTGAAAAGCCTCCTAACCTTGCAAGTCATCCTTGGGCTTTTTATTCATAATGAAATCAAATCTGGACAGATGGTCCCCCCCAATAAGCTGCTTAAAAGGTCTGATGTTACGGCTGAGAAAGAGCATAGTCTACCCTCTGCTGAGTCATCGATAAAGCTCTGTAAACTATTATGCTGATACTTGTGACTGTGCAGATCCGCAGGATTGTGAGGTGCTTCTTCCTCTAGCTGTCAGTAACCTTTACAGTGATTATCTAATTCAAAATAATTCATGTTATTTCATATTAGGTAATCACTGTAATTGTTACTGCAATTATTATTGACAATTACAGTCATTAACTAATATGAAATAATTAGCTGTTAAGACACTAGTTCACTTTGAGGGAGGGAGGTAGGTAAACAAATTGGCCACATTTTCCATATTAAGAAAGCCAAAAACAAATATTTTAACCTAAAAGAGAGAGGATTAATTAAAGAACCTGGCGGTATCTGTGTAAATTTTGGACACTTTGGGTCTTGGCATTTGTATGTGATGTTAGTATTTAGAAACGGCAGTAATGTATTAATAAATGCAGTGGAAACTGAAAAATGCAGCATAAAAACAGCAGTAAAGGGGTTTGCTCTTGTTTATAGATAGGCTGATTGTACTGGTGCATCTTGGTAATTAAAGGGATGAATTGACTAACCGTAGACTGGTGTATATGTTTAAATCCAGCCAGCATGGCTTCTTTTCGGAATATCACCACTATTTGCATTTAGCTAACACTGAATGGTTTTCTTCTTACAGTTAATTTCTTGGCAATGGCCTAAAAAGTACCCGTGCTGACCATACTGAAGTGCAGGCAATTTTAAAGTGAGATTTAGTTTTCATATTGACGTCTCTGTTTTTGTAGAGCCCCCTCAGATCCTGAGCTCAGGCTGTACAACAACGTTAAAACGTCTAGCCAATTTGACTCTTAAGAGGTTTATTTACGAAAGCCAAATAGGCTGTTCACTTTGCAAAGGAATTTTGTCTTAGGTTAGTGAATGAGGTGAAACTCTGCTGACTTTCATCATCCAATCATGTGCCAGCAAAAATACATTTTTTTTCATTTTCCTTGTAGGTGATTGAGTGTTCTTTGAGCTTCTGCCTTGAAGCGCTGGACTGGGCAGGGTGTCCCTGGTTTAAATCCTAGCCAGGTCACTATCTGCAAGGAGTTTGAATGTTCTCCCTGTGCTAGTGTGGGTTTCCTCCGGGTACCTTTTCCTCCCACACTCCAATAACATGCTGCAATGTTAATAAGCTTCTGTCTAAATTGACCCTTTCACCTATGCATGTGGGATAGGGACCTTAGATTGTAAGCTCCTCAGGGGCAGGGACTGATGTGAATGTGCATGTAAAGCGCTATGTAAATTGTCAGTGCTATTTAAAGGAGAACTATGAGGTGAGTGCTTTTCACTCACCTCATAGTTCTAGCCGACCTGTGACAATGAGACTGTCACAGGTCGGCTCAGTAGATCGGGAGGTGAGCGAACACATGACGGTGTTCGCTCACCACTCGATCCACCCCCCCCCCCCCCCCTATACGTTATTGGGTATTCTTTCCAAAGTGAATTTTTATCACACTAAGTTAATGGAAAATTCCCTTGATTGAACAGCCTAATAGACTTTAGTATATCCACCCGTAAGCCTTCTCCCTCTCACCACTAAGCGCCATACTTTGTCATTTATCTTTCAGATAGCAGAGTAACAGTTGGCAGAAGAGGTTCTGCCATTCTTCAGGTGAATGACAGTGGATTGGGACTTGCTGCACTATTGACTTGGCCAGAAACGTATGATCTGTGTAATGTGTAGGCCTAGGATCCATAGGGGGTTCTACAATGTTAAAGATGTTGATTTGAAGGTTTTTGTCAGCATTATAAGGTGCTTGCTGTTAACAGTGCCGTGGTACTAGATAGAATGTAGACCATAGCAGGTTTATGTTAACACTACGAGGGTGCATGTTCTGCTGAGCCGAAGTGAAGGAGCCATTCGACTCAGCCGATCCAACATCTGGATCGGCTGAGCTTAACCTCTGGCAGTTCACTCGCTGCTGTTCGCCCTATTCTCATTGAACAGCAGTGAGTGAATAGTAAAATGCCGCTGATCGGCATTCGGCTCTGTTCTGCTCACTACCTCTGAGGTAGCGAGCAGAATAAAAAATAAAGTAAATCAGTAAAAAAAACAGCTTGGGCCCCAAGTTTAAAATGTAAAAAAAATGCATAGGGTTCCCCCCCAAAGTCATACCAGGCCTTTTAGGTCTGGTAGGAATTTTAAGGAGGAACCCCACTCCCAAAAAATGGGGTGGGAAAAACCTGGGGTCCCCCCTAAAATTCCCAACCAGACCCTTATTCCGAGCAAGGTTCCCCCTGGAAAAGCACCTTCTTCCCGTGCCGATGGGGGCAAGGGCCTCTTCCCTACAAGCCCTACGCGTTGGTTGTAGTGGTCTGCGGGCAGGGGGGCTTATTTGTATTGGGGTACCCCATGTCACAAATGGGGCACCCAGATGCTGGCCCTCCCTTGTGAATGAGTAAGGGGTACTTGTACTCCTACTTAATAAAAGAAAACACACTTGTAAAAAAGTAATTTAATTGAGAAAAAAACAATACAAAGAATAATAGAAAAAAAAATGATCCAACGAAGTAATCCACATAAATCACGATGCCGCCTACTCGCCGACCCCGTCTGCACCCGCCGAACACTTATCGCCAAATGACCTGTATGACAGGTGGCGGCAAAAAGAAAACAAATGGGCGGAGCTAGTGGTGACGTCACTGCTGGCTCTGCCTATTTGTTTTGATTTGGCCGCCACCAGTCGCTGGGCTGTCATTGAATGACAACAACTGGGCGGACCCAGCCATGACGTCACGGCTGGTTCCGCTCAGTTGTTCACATTTGCGGGGAGAACGGTCGGCTTCGGCAGACCATTCTCCCCGCTTCAACTGTGACTTCTGCTCGACTGAGCTGTTCGCCTGCCTTCGGCTGCTATTCAGGCTATTGTGCATAGCCCGTACAGCAGCGAACCGAAGGGCTCCGGCAGCCTAAGTGAGCTGATGGATTAGCAGATGCTTTGGCTTAAACCTTCGGCTCATTCGTGAATAACCCTCTATATGTGTGGATCCATGGTGGGGAAAGGAGGTATTTGCTATATATTGTATATTCTCCTGTTTTCTCTGGAGATCAGGATCATTTCCATTCCTTTACAGTCAGACAAGTGTCTGAAACAAGAACTGTCTGTGATACTCTTACAAAGTCACACCTAACATACCAGAATAAAGAGAAAAATCTTTTATGGTCATGCAACTTTTCTCTTATTATAGGTCAAATTTGTGAGTTACTTTCTACTTTGATATGCAACTTTGATGACCCTTTCATTTTTTACGTTTCTAGACAGTTTAGACGACTCTTTCAAGAAGACAAAAACCATTACAACAAAATCACAGAAGTCTTTCCATGATTTCCACTTCTCAGATGATGAAGATGAGGATTCACATAGCAAAGTGTCCTTCCTGAAAACTAGGAAGCAGGACAACAATGAGCCAGACTATAACCTGACTGATGGCAGTATCCGCAAAGGAGACTATGAACGTATTCTGCCCAAGTCACCACTCTCTGGGGATATGAAGAATGGAGGTCTTTTATCAGAAGGCCATAAACCTACTCCAAAGCCAAGAGAGTCCAGGATGAAACGATCACCATCACGTAAGAGATAGTTTAGGGATTTCATAAGAGGAAAAATCATAAATTGGGTATCCAAATATTTAAATAGAAACATACACATTTCTATAAGGGTCAGTGTACACACGTTTCAGACTTGCAAGCAGGTCAAATGCATTTGAATTGCTTTTAAGATGCTTCTGAATTGATTTTTTGCCTTCACTTTGTTCAGATGCAGAAGAATAGGGCATTTACCCTGATGTGATTTTAAGCAAATACAGCATTAATGGCAAATGTACTGTCTAGCTGTGTAAGACCAAAGTTCACAACTCAATTGCATTTCACATCCTTCTGAACTGCTTCAATCAGCATAAACGTGAAGCCCTTGAACCCGAGTTCTGAAAGGGAAATTAAAAACAAAATGCTAGACAGGAAGGGTTTTTCAGTAGAAGAGACTTTGTTTGTCTCTTTTGCCAAAATACCCTTTCTACAGTTACTTTTATTTTGTGTGTACGCTGCCTGTTACTCATGCACAGTGCATTGTAAACTCCCTGCAACTGCAAGATGTCAGAATAGAGATGAGTACTAGGACAATGTAACTACAGCGGCATTCACAGGAGTTACATCATTGGTGGCCGCCCAGTGGCCAAAGAGGGGAAAATGCTGGACCCAAAAGAATTGGTGGAAAAAATGAAGGTGGTAAACAGAGTGGTAAAGACACTGAACTGTTAGTGCTAGAGGAGGGAAACACAGAGCAAAGTTCTCTGTAATGTATGCAGGACTGCCACTGCTTGTTTGCTGGCTGTCATGCTGACCTGCCTTGGAAGCATTCTGGGTCACTGACCTTGAACAAGCAACCTGGAGTTCTTTCTGACTTCCCTTTGATGCCAGCTACTGACTTCTTTTTGATGATGACTCCAAAATGACTGGAGCCAGAAAGTGCCATACAGCTAAAGTTTTCAGAGGGAGAAGCCAAAGTTTTCATATTTCTTTCAACACAAGTTGCTAACATTTTTTAAAATGTATTTATTACTGGTATTTATATAGCGCCAACAATTTACTTAGCGCTGTACATACTGCACCCTAACCCCTAACCTAACCCTAACCCTGCCCTAACCTTGAGGAGCTTACAATCCAAGGTCTCCATCTCACATGTATACAGGGCCGATTTAGAATATATGTGTCTACTCCGGCTGCTATAAAATACTCTGAGGAGTAACTCACCTAAATCTGTCCAAACAAGAGTCCAGTGGACATCCCAGGTATGATAAAGTTTGAAACAGGAAATAAAAAAATTGTAATATAATAAATTATAAAAATGGTCCAGTAAATGGGAATTCTAATTTCCACAGACGTAGAGAGCTTTGAAGTGTATTAGATGATGATTAGATGATGGTCTAATAATGTTCTAATGATAATGATCATGATAATGATAATTATAATGTTCTAATTAGGAACATTAGATGATGATCCACATTTCTTAGCAATTCCAAAAGATGTACTTTACCAATAATAGTTTGATATCTTGTACATAGATAACAAAACAGTCTGAATAGTAGGAACTCTTCAAGATTTAGTAGGCAATTGTTTTCTTTTATAACGTGATAGGTCATTGCAATTACAGCTATTCCAATCATGACTCAGATCCACTTGCCCTTTTTGCATGCGGCAATCAGCAAAGCATAAATTAGGCATCAATATCAGGAACTGGATATACATAGAAAAGAGAAACCATTATTTTGCAAAAATACCCCGCTTGCTTATTCAGAGTAAAAACTATTTGATCGGCGTGTGTTATACATTTGATAAAAGCTTATCAAGTTAATTTTAACCAATATAGGTAGTTGCGATAGAGATAAATTGCACACATCTGAGCACAAGTTAATTCTAACCAGTGTAAATGGTTGTAGCAGAGATCAATTAGGTAAGATAAGCATTGTGTTTTTGGCAACCCGTCTTTTGGGAAGAGGCATATATATATATATATATGTTTCTTTATTTATTTTATAGCTATCCTGCACGTAGGGCTAGTCTCTCACACCTCTACTTGTGTTAGATTACAGGTTTCCTTAAAAAAGAACTCCAGGCAAATCAAATCGTAACCCTTGCAGTGAGGCTACCCCCCACACTGCAAGGGTTAAGTGCTTTTTTTGTCCAGGGAGCTAAAATAAAAAAAATTCTACTCATCTGAACTGAGATCCCTACTTGCTCTTAGACCGGTCCCTACCACCTCACTCCCTCACTGCTCCAGCAGCCTAAGGTCCTGTGAATTAGTTAAATATAAAATATGACACTGTCAAATTAAATTGTACCAAGTATATCTCCGCTCAAAATCACATGCATGTTTAAAAAAAACAGCAAAAAAATATGATACCCAAAATTGTAAGTAGGGGATACATTATTAAAAAAAAAACTTTACAGATCATAACTTTAGAGTTAAACGATATCTGAACCCAAAGCAAAAATGTAATATATGGCTGCTTACCCATTTTTAGATCTGTTTTTTTTAAATGTATTTATTACTGGTATTTATATAGCGCCAACAATTTACGTAGCGCTGTGCATACTGCACATTCACATCAGTCCCTAACCTTGAGGAGCTTACAATCTAAGGTCTCTATCTCACATGTATAAGGGCCGATTTAGACAGGAACCAATTAACCTTTCAGCATGCCTTTTGGAGTGTAGGAGGAAACCGGAGTACACAGAGGAAACCCATGCAAGCACAGGGAGAACATCCCAGATAGCAATCAATTGAGCTGCAAGTTTGAAAATGACTTGCTAAACTATTGCATTGCAAGTCTCCAGATCAGCGTGCTTTGCAAAAGTGCTGTATACTTGCAGAGCTCTTACTAAGACCTGCAGGACTGTTGCTGTAGACATGCCAAGCAAATTTGCTACAAATTCAAAAAGTGTCAACTAGAACTTGTGCTGCAAATGTTCTGCAAGTCTACAACTTGCCAGGAATGTGTGCAGCAAGTTAACAAGAATTACAATTTAGCCCTGCCACAAGTTTGTGGAAAGTTATCCTTGCTATCTGGGATGCCAAGTCCTTGCAGATGTTGTCCTGGCCAGGATTTGAACTGGAGACTCCTAGTGCTGCAAAGCAGAAGTGTTAAGCTCTACACCACCATGCTGCCTCAACCCCACAGTGTATGTGTGCAGCTATTCAGGGCTCCGGAATGGCGGTAACCGCTGAGATCAGCGATTACCGTTCATTAATGGATGCCCCACTAATGAGGCATCCATTAATGAAATGTTTTAAGCAGTTTCAGACACCTAATCACTTTCAGTGATCGGGTGTCTGACAGTGCTAGGAGTGCGGTTTGAACCGCACTGTCTATCACTGTTGGGAAGCCATACACATCAGGATTAGCAATAAATGACAGCGAGAGAAGTTGAAATGTGTGGAAAAAAAATACAAATGATATATATATATATTTTTATACTATAATTATTCTAAAAATTTTACACAGCACACTGAAAATCTACAGCTGAGCTGAACTGCTTCAATGAGCATAAACGTGAACCCGAGTTCTGAAAGGTTGTGATTTGTTTTTCACCCGAATTTTTGTATTTAAACCGCTCATGGCGGCGATGTTCAAAGTATGTCGCTGTCATTAAGTGTAACACTTCGCAACATTGTATGCCACCTGCCTAACCTGGTGACCACTATTGGCTTTTAGAGAATAACATTTAAATGTTAGCTTTCAGTTTTAGGCCGAGAAGTGCAGAAACATCTCTGAAATCCTAGACACGTGAGATGTTTCCAAATAAAGGACAAATAAATGAATGTATTTTAATGCATTTTTTCAGATGTGCTATTTTTCTAAAATAATAATAATTAAACCTGGGGGAAAAAGTGTTTTCTTCACGTTTTTTCCTCGTATTTTTATATTTTATTCATACTTAGTGAGGCGTTAGGCACTCAGTCATGGAGGGTTTAAAGAGGAACTTTACCCATATATTCAAAATAACAACAATTACACCTTTAGAAATGTTTAGTAATGACAATCTACAAACACATACTTCTAGATATTTGCCGGCTTTGCATTGTTTGCATCCCTTATTTCTCTTTTCTTCTCCAGTCTTCTGGCAGTGGCAATGTTTACTAAGGGCAGATTACTAGATCTCTTTTTACTTCCTGGAACTCTGGCACATGTGACTAGGACATGTGACCATGCACATTATCTAGGGGAGGAAAATGCCTTTCCCTGAGATCTCATAAGATTACAGATGACATTTCCCAGCAATGCTGTGCTGATGTAACCTTCCCAGGATGCAACTCTTGGGCATGACTACATCATTTCTGCCAAAGTGGACCAGGAAGTTGAAAAAAAAAAAGACATTTTAAGTAAAATAAAAATGTGTTCGTTTAACTAATGAATGTAAGATGATTTCATATCAGCATACAGAGCTGCATACTGATGTGATTTTTAATGAAAGGGGTTAAAGATCCACTTTAAATAGTCATATCTCAAACACTTTGTAGAGTCCAGGGTGTGAAAAAGTTATTTGATAGGCTCTATTTGTAGTGGCTTCAGTAAAGTAGTTATCATACTGTAAATAGTAGTACATTAAAGCGGAACTCCGGCACACAAACTTTGATTTGAATAAATCCCACAATAGCCACAAAAGGATATACATGCACTTTGTGTGCATAAAACCCAGGTATTACCTTGTAACAGTAGCAGTGACCTTGTATATATGGTACATAGTCTGTGCAATGAGCAAAGCTATGAGAGGGGCCCAGCAGGCTCCACCCACTAAAGGTTGCCTGCAGAAAACTACAGGAGGAGGCAGATACATGACCAATTACCTTGCACAAGGAGAGAGAGCAGCAGTGACTGATTACAGGAAGCTTCTGCACAGAGTTTAATGTTTGTATTGGCTGACTGTGCCAAATATGAAAAATAACCTTTTGTATATAATTTAGGCTGCAGAGTAAAATAGAAAACTCTTTTTTTAGTTGATACATATGTCAAGTTTTTATTGCTATCCTTGACCCTGTTGAATAGTTTTAACTAGGAATCCAGCGATACCGA